CGTCAAACTACCCCCTGGTCGACGGACCCCTTCAATCGACCAGAACTGTCAGCGGTTGTCGCCGAGCTCCCCTCGTCAACCGCTGCTCACTTGTCAGGTCGACGGACAGCTCCTTGGACCTCCCGCTTGAGCTGCAGGTCGACGGGATGCTCCCGGTCGAGCTGTAGGTCGATCGACTGCTCCCAGTCGAGCTGTAGGTCGATAGACTGCTCCCGGTCGAGCTGCCCCTCCTGGTCGACGGCCCACCCGCGCCCAGACCAGCCAGTTGCAGCTGTCGAGCTCCCTGGTCGACAGCAACACCACACCGGTCCCCTACAACTCGATGAAACCTGTCAAGCAACTCTCCCACTGTGAACGTCGGCTGCTACACCCGTACATCTGACCAAGTCTTCGGCGTTGCCCAAGCGAGAGCGGGGCCAACATTCCACTCCCGTTAACACTCCCCTGCTGCACTCACGCATGGGCCTCCAGCCCACACGGCAGTACTTCACGGAGAAAACTCGTCCTCGGCGTGCACCCCATACACAGCACGCCATCACCGCACCAGCCGTGCAGAAGGGCACGGCACCTACTGCTGCACCTCGTCGTCGCCGTCACCGACGTCGGCCAGACGAACTTGGCCGATGGCAACCGAGCACCGGTTGAAAGCCGGAAAATGCAGCCCCTTCGTCAGGAAGTTCGCCGGCTGCTCAGTGATCGGGATGTAGTTCAGCACAAATTTCCCGCGCCTCACCATGTGCTGCAGCCAGGCGTAGCGTCGCTCCATGGGCTTGAGGTTGCGCGTCAACCTCAAGCCCTCAGCGACCATCATCGCCAACTTGTTGTCGACGCGGACGATGGTCGGCTTCCCAGCGTCGAGCAGCTTGAATTCCACAAGGAGGAAGCGAAGTCGACGCCCCTCCTTGCCGGCATGTACTCCGACTCGGTCGATGACAATGTCGCGCACTTGATGCGCGAGCTCGACCAGGAGACGCGGGCCCCTCCGTAGAAGAACACGTAGCCTCCCGTGCTCGTCCAATTCTACTTCTCGCCCGCATTGTCGGCATCGACGTAGCCGATCAGCTCCAACGATTCTGGTTCACCGCCGAACTTCAGGGCAGTGTTGCGGGTGTCGGTAGGGTAGGCGAGGCAGCGGTCGACCTTGCGCCAATGCTGGTAGCTCCTCACCGTGAGGCCGCTCCCCAGCTTGTTGCAGGCGAACGCAATGTCTGGCCTCGTCGTCGTCGCCGCGAACTGCAGCGATCCGACTTTCTGCCGGTACTCCTCCTCTTCGCGCTCCTGAGCCTCCTCGTAGTCGAACGTCAGCTGAGCGTAGGCGTCGACCAAGGCCAGCGCCTTCGGTACTCGACCACCCTGCTCCTCGTCGATGAAGCGCATACGCAGCTTGTCGGCGTAGCCCTGCTGGTGCAGCCACAGCTTCCTGGCCGGCCTGTCTCGCACGATCTCCAGCCCAAGTTACTTCACCACCGGCGAGATCTCACGCAGCTCGAAGGCGGCCTCCAGCAGCTCCTTCAGCTGCGTCAGCATCGCGGTGTTGCTGCTGGCGGCGAGCAGGTCGTTGACGTAGACCAGCACCCAGAAGGTCACTCCGTCGTCGCGGGCTTTGAAGTAGAGCACCTCGTCAACCTGGCTCTTCTTCCAGCCAGCGCCCAGCACCACATTAACGAGAGCCCTGTACCACAACAGCGGCGACTGCTTCAGCCTGTAGAGGCTCTTCAGCAGCTTACACAACCGGCCGGTCCCGTCGTTGAAGTAGTCTGGCTGGTACATGTAGAGCACCCTGTCGAGCTTGCTCTGCAGGAAAGCGTTCTTCATGTCGAGCTGCATAAGGTTGAGGTCGATGACAGCGACGATGCTGAGGAAGATCCTCAGCGTGACGTAGCTGCTCACCGGCGAGTAAGTCTCGTCGTATTCGGTGCCGTACACCTGTGTGAAGCCCTTCACGACCAGCCTCGCCTTCTTGTGCCCGACGGTGTCGGCGATGCGGTACTTGGTCGTCAGCACCCACCAGTTCTTCATGATGTTCACCCCGCGTGGGCGTTCGACCAGCTCCCAAGTCCCCATACCGATGAGGCTACGGATCTCTTCTTCCATGGCGGCCGGCCTTCACCACCTCGGCCTTCCAGCTCGATAGCGCCTCCTTCACCGTCATCGTGGCGATGTCCCAGGGGGGGTGTTCGGGGTCAGCACGCACGTCAGGGTCGAGCTCCAGCAGGTCTTCATCCTCCTCGGCATCGTCGTACAACAGGTTGTCATTGACCTCGTCATACACCGTGGTGAAGGCAGCTGGCGGTAGGCAGGCGTGGAAGCTCAACCGCTCCGGCGGCCGTCGAGCTCGACGTGTGTGTCGCGGCTCAGGCTTTGTGATCGGCACTTCCACCACGTCGCTGTCGGTGGACTCCTCATCCGCCGACTGCTCCCCTTCTTCGTCGACGTCCTCGTCGTCGACCAGCTACTTCGACCGGCTGCTCGTCTGCTGCTGACTTCAACAGCTACCCTGTCGACCGCTCTGGGTGCTGCTCCCCTATCGAGTGTACCCCTTCTGTTGCCTCCAGTTCGACCGGCTCCTTTGTCTGGTGCTCCCTTGTCGTCGACGGCTTGCCATCGTGGTCGACGAGCTTGGCGCCTTGTCGTTTGCCGGCGATGCCACTGGCCGGCGCCATAGGCGACGCCTCAAGGCTCCCCTCATCGCCGGTGGCCGACACAGGTGTCGAAGCAGGTCGATCTGCGACGGGAGCGGGAGGAGCAAGAACAGGTGGAGGTGAAGGAACCTCGACAACATCCTCATCAGCAGGCTCGTCGACTTTGGCGAGCAGTGGAACCGTTGCCTTCGAGGTGTCCATCGGCGGGTGTGCCTATGTCCGCTCCGACGCTGGCCCATACTTCACCTTCCACACCTCCAGCGACAGCGTCTCATAGAAGATCACCTCAACCGACATGACCACCTTGTTGTCGGTCAGGTCGAGCACCTCCCAGTCCTTGCTCTCCGGCGACACACCCTGGTGAAGCACCCAACGAGCTTTCAGCGCCAGCTTCCCACTGCACTGCTGCTCAGGAACCATGAACTGCACCATGCAGCCCCACGCCCGCGCTAGCGTAAGGTCGGGCTTCTGCCCGGTCAGCAGCTGGTACGGAGTCGTCCCGGGCGGCGTCGACGACCGCTCCAATCAGTTGTGCACCCAGACCGCTTGTCATAGAGCAAGGTGCCACCAGTGGTGCTGCACGCCCATGTGCAGAAGCATCGTCCGCACGGACTCGATGACCGTGCGCATCTTCCGCTCAGCCATGCCATTCTGCTGCGGAGTGTAGGGGCACGTCAGGTCGTAGACGATGCCCTTCCCGTCGACGAAGTCGGTGAACGCCTTCCCGAGGAACTCCCCTCCTAGATCAGAGCAAAGCAACAGCACCGACTTCTTTGTCTGCCGTTCCACCAGCACTAGCCACCGCTGAAACTCCCGCAACACGTCGCTCTTCTTAGCGACCGGCATTGCCCATACAAATCGAGTATGGTGATCCTTCAGCAGTAGGAAGTACAAGTTGCCATCCTCGGCAGCCACCCAAAATGGCCCGCACAAGTCAATGTGCACGACAGCCAGCGCCTCCGCTGCGTCCGAGCCCTTGGCGGGGAAGGTGTGCCGCGCCAGCTTTCCTCCGACGCACGAGACACACGGCGGGTCTGCTCCGGTCGACGACGTGATGTCGAGCCCAGTAGCAACATCATGCTTCCCCGAGCTCTTGATCGTGTCGACGCTGACATGTGCGAGCCGCGCATGCATCTGTTGGTTGCACGCCATTCTGAGTGCATGTCATCCTAACGTCCTGCCGAGTGCTCGTGCTATTTGTGCTTGCATGATTTGCATGAGCGTATGTCATTATGCATGGCTGTTGGAAATTATCATCTCTGTGTTTTTCTCCAAGTCTAAATGCTTGATCATGCAGGAGAAATCCAGAGCTTTCCAACGATACCAAGATCGCCTTATTCCGACCAAGATCGCCCAAGTTACAAGATTTCCAAGACTTGGATTTCTTATTACCTTTTGGGGTTATATCTAATTTGGGTGATTACTTGGGACATGACTATAAAGGGATCTTTGGTTGGGTGGTTAGGGAAGGCAACATTGACTTTTGGATTGGGGTGGCTAGAAGTTTCTAGCATGGGTTGCAAATGTTGCAACACCTAGGCAAAATCCAACTACACTACATTTTGCATGTGACACCTCAAGGACCTCATGATGAGGGTTGCATCCTTGCTGCTAGGAAGGTTCCTACCATCCTTCCCTAGCTCTTGGAGAACCCCTTCCCTCTCATGGTTCTCTTGGAGGTTCCCAACTCCAACTTTCTATGCCTTAATGCTTGTACTTCCTCTACCATTCTAGTTATGCGGCTGCTTGACGTTCTCAATCGATTCTCACTCTATAGCTATCATCTTAACAACTGATTCAACTTGGAGACGGTAGCTAAGCCTAAGGCGCAACTTCGTACTGAGCGGATTTGCGTCTAGTTGAGAAATGAGTTCGTCGTAAGCTCTCAAAGTGACGGATCCTGAACAACAAGTGGTATCAGAGCGGGTAGTCGACAGTGAATTCTCGACCAATGTTGTCGAGTGAGACCATTTTCTAGTAGATCTACTCGCGAACTTTCGTTTGGTGGTCAAACCGCGTTCTAATTCGAAGTATCTAGTCCGGGACGGCGATTTTTGTAAAGTCAAAATTTCTGGCAGAATTCTCTCCAAACGATTTCTCAAGTTTCCACCGTTCATAAGGCCTCAATATGGTTGGTACAAACTCCGGAGGTGCTACTGGCGAGATGGATAGAAGTAGAGAGGCTGGAGAGCAAGGGGGAGTTGCTGGTGGAGGAGTGGGGACTCACCAACCAGCCAACCCGACGCTACCCTCAACTTCTACACCATCTCTCCTACAACCGTGGATCCTGTGAAGGCGTTCTCTATTGAGAAGTTCATGGGGGAGGACTACGAGCACTGGAGTTTCCGCATGAGGCTGATGTATACCCAATACAAGCTATTGGATCTGGTGGAGAGGAAGGAGAAGATGCCGGAGGCCGCGGAGCTGAAAGGAGTGTGGATGAAGCGATCGTTCCACGCGTACATGCTCATGGTGCAAGCGGTTGGCGGACGACAACTTAACCACATCAAGGACCTCTTGGGTGATCTGGAGTGTGGCCCCAAGGCTTGGAGGAAGCTTCTGGATGTGCACTCACCGACACATGCTACCGGCATTGTGCTACTCGCGCGGCGGCTGCGCGACATCAAGCTCGTTGATGGAGAGCCGATGCAACCGGTGTTGGATGAGATGCGCGACATCTTTACGAAGCTCCAAGGAGGCGGTGTGGTGTACCCGGAGCTCGTGCAATGCGTGGAGATTGTGATACGGCTGCCGGAGTCGTGGTCTGCCCTAGCGATCAACCTCAACTCCCAACAACCCCAATGGAGTGTGGATTACATTCGCGCGCACATCCTAGAGGAGGACTTGCGGCGGCGGAGTGTGGAGAGCTCGGAGAAGGGGGCTGGCTATGGAGTTGGAGGTGGAAAGAGTGGCTTCAAAAAGAAGTGGAAGGGCAAGAACAAGGATAACCCTAAGGAGGATGGCGGCGGGGGTCAAGGGGAGGTGTGCTTCTACTGCAAGAAGCGCAGACATCGTTGGCGGAAGTGCTACCAACGACCCAAGGATTATACCCCGCCTTCATCAAGCAACCAGCGTGGTGGCGCGAGGAGTGGGGGAGTCATGGGAGCTAGTGGAGAGGAGAAGGAGGAGGAGAAAGGCGGCAAATCTGAGGAGCAGAAGGCCGGGTTCTTCTTCTTCGTGAACGAAGGCGCAACCGACCTCGCTATGGCTGCCAAGGTTCTCCTACACCCCCTCACCCATTGGGTGATTAACTCGGGAAGCTCCTGGCACATGACTCCTCGTGCGGACCTACTCGATGAGATTGAGCCTCCACCTATCTCTACGGTCACATCCGCGACGGGCGCCAAGGCCAAGGTCATGGGCATGGGATGCGCCAAGTTCATGGGAGCGGATGGAGAGCTCGTGGGGCTGAAGAATGTGCTGTGGGTGCCGGACTTGGGCGCGAACCTGATTTCTACTGGCCAGTTGGGAGATGCGGGTGTGAACACCGAAACGATTGGCTCGGAGCGCTATCATGCCTACAACGATGAGCGCCTCATTTGGGACCTGCAGTGGAAGGGAGATGTCCACAAGCGCATGTGGCAGATCCCGGCCCTCCCTTTGCGGAAATCGAGCAAGGCGGCAGCGGCAGCATCTATGGAGGAGAGCGTCACCGAGGAGGAGCAGCAAGGTGTGCAAGGAGAGGAGCTCATTGGAGGAATCACGGCGGTGAAGGCATCGGCTACCTCGGGCCAAGCGGATTGGGAGACTTGGCATCGGCGACTCTCACACGTGGCTGTTTCAATACTGGAGGTGATGCACAAGGAGAAGTGCGTGCATGGGCTGCAACTGCAAGGAGATGGCACTCACTATGGCAGCTACGAGGCGTGCATGCAAAACAAGTTTGCGCGGTTCCCGTTCCTACGAGCGGAGGGATCAGCGAAGGCACCATTGGAGGTGGTGCACATGGACCTGGTGGGTCCTATGAGGACTGAGGGAACTGGGGGAGTGTTGTACTTCCTTACCATGGTGGACGAATGGAGCCATTTCTGTTGTAATTTCATATTTCATACAACATACATAGGCTAGAAGTGTAGCACATTTATAAATTGGGGGGTTGCTTAGTGTACCCTCCAACCACATTTTGTGGTTGGTTAGGATTGGTCCTTAGCTCAACCAATCCCAACCAACACACATTTGTGGTTGCTTGGGTCACAATCAAGCTCACCCATTGGCCAACTTATTGGCCAATAGGGTAAGATTCCCTCTCATCTCTCTCTTGCTCATTGTTTGTACTAAAGAGCCTCGTGGCTCATTATTCAATGTATCAATTCTCTCTCTTCTAACATGGTATCATGAGCTAATGGCTCACGCCTACCTCCCTCGGTCCTTAGGCCACCCTCTCCTCCCCGTTCCTCATATCTAGCCCCACCCTCAGATCTAGGGCCACGCTCTCCTCCCTTCACGCGCCCTTTAGGCGCTGTCCTCCCTCCCCGTGCGCCCCCTAAGGCGCTGCCCTCCAAGGCACGTCCAGATCTGCAACTCCAGCGCCCAGATCTGCACTCCCCGCGCTCAGATCTGCAACTCCAGCGCCCAGATGTGCACTCCCCGCGCTCAGATCTGCAACTCCAGCGCCCAGATCTGCACTCCCTGCGACCAGATCTACTCCTCCCGCGCCTAGATCTGATCATTCCGCGCCCAGATCTGGATTCCGCGCCACCAGATCTCCTCCTCCCGCGCCCAGATCTGAACATTTCGCACCCAGATCTGCACTCCGCCCGCCCAGATCTGCACTCCGCCCGCCCAGATCTGCACTCCGCCCGCCCAGATCTGCACTCCGCCCGCCCAGATCTGCACTCCGCCCGCCCCGATCCGCCCTCCGCGCGCTCAGATCTGCACTCCGCGCGACCAGATCTGCACTCCGCGCGACCATATCTGCCCTCCGCGCGACCAGATCTGCCCTCCGCGCGACCAGATCTGCCCTCCGCGCGACCAGATCTGCACCTCCCGCGCTGAAATCTGACCATTTCGCGCCCATCTCTGCACGTCCCGCTCGTTTGCCGCGGGCTGTCCCGCGTGCATTCGCCACGGGCTTCCCAGTCGCGCGGATCTGCCGCACGGCTGCCCTCTTCGTCCCCTCCCCCCCCCCCTCTCTCCCTTCCTCCTCCCATTGAACCCGCAGCAGCATCATCAGCGGCACCTCACCGGCACCACCAGCAGCACCCTTCCCCCTTGCCTCCCCCATAGCATCACCCTCCTCCTCCACCCTCCTCCTCCTCCCATCCTACCTACAGCAGCACCAGCAGCAGCACCTGCAGTGGCACCACCAGCAGCACCCTTCCCCCTTGCATCCCCCATAGCATCGCCCTCCTCCTCCACCCTCCTCCTCTTCCCATCCTACCTGCAGCAGCACCAGTAGCAGCACCTGTAGCGGCACCACCAGCAGCACCCTTCCCCCTTGCCTCCCCCATAGCATCGCCCTCCTCCTCCACCTTCCTCCTCCTCCCATCCTACCTGCAGCAGCACCAGCAGCAGCACCTGCAGCGGCACCACCAGCAGCACCCTTCCCCCTTGCCTCCCCCATAGCATCGCCCTCCTCCTCCACCCTCCTCCTCCTCCCATCCTACCTGCAGCAGCACCAGCAGCAGCACCTGCAGCGGCACCACCAGCAGCACCCTTCCCCCTTTCCTCCCCCATAGCATCGCCCTCCTCCTCCACCCTCCTCCTCCTCCCATCCTACCTGCAGCAGCACCAGCAGCAGCACCTGCAGCGGCACCACCAGCAGCACCCTTCCGCCTTGCATCCCCCATAGCATCACCCTCCTCCTCCTCCACCTTCCCCACCCTCCACTCCTCCCTTCCTCCTCCCATCCTACCCGCAGCAGCATCCGCAGCGGCACCAGCTGCAGAACCAGCAGCGGCACGGGCAGCAGGGCCAGCAGCAGCATTGGCAACGGTACCCTCGCACCATCCTCCTCCTGCCCTAGCCTCTACCCACCCTCATCTCTATGGCATCGTCGTCCGATTCTTCCGTCGATCTTGCCACTGTTGACGCACTCGAGTTGCTGCCTGACTACTCTGCTGCTAATTGGCACTCTTATGCTCATTCCGTTGAAGTGCTCCTCTCCTCTGTTGTGGTCAGCGGCTACAACCTTCGCTCGGTTGTCTTTCAGGAAGGCGGTGGACTTCAGCCCGTGGCCCCCACCGCTCCTACTGGACCTGCCCCCGCCCACCCTGGCGCCAAGCCCTCTCCCCCCGGTGATCCTCCCACCTTCGCGCCGAATGTCAACGACCCGCAGCGCTCGAAAACCGCCATTCGCACCTACCGCACCAATCTCCAAGAGCACCTGCGCCTGCAATTGCGTTACGAGGACGACAGGCGCATCTATGACAACGCCGCTGCCCGCTACAACAAGTACCAGGAGGACCTGGACACCTACACTGCAGAACTTGCAGACTACACCACGAAAATTACTGCCTGGCGGGTTGCTGATCGGCGTGCGCTTGCCATTCTTCTCGCCACCATCCCCTCCTCTCTCAAACGCGAGCTCTCACCTACCTCCTCCTCCCACCTGTGGCGACTGCTAGTCGACCTTTTCGATCGGCAGGACGTTGCCACTCTTTACGCCCTTATCAAGGAGTTTGGAACTCTCTCCATGGATTCCACTTCTGGCGCAGCTGCTTTCACTCGCCGTGTCTTAGACCTTGCTCGGCGCCTTGCTACACTCGATGTGGTGTACCCGGACACCGTCATCTGCTGCCACCTCCTCGAGGGCCTCACACGTGCCTGCGACGCTCACAAGCTTGCTTACATGCAGCTTATCTCCAAGCACCACACCCCTGCCGAAGTCGCTCAGTGGATTATCACCACCGAAGCTGAGATCCTTCGCCACTCTTCCTCCACAGCCGCAGCAGCCCAGTCGCGCAGCAGCCGGGGTGGACGTGGCGGTGGGCGTGGGGGTGGGCGTGGTGGTGGGCGTGGGGGTGGACGAGGGGGATCAGCAGGTCGCGGTGGTGCTGGCAGCAGTGGTGCGGGTCGTGGTACGGCAGCTGCCTTTCCTCCCTGTCAGTACCTGCCTCGCTACGGTCCCACTCAGGGACAGCGCTGCGGCCAAACCACCCATGCCACTAAGACGTGCTTCAAGGCACTCAGTGATGAGTGGTTTGCCCGTGGCAACACCGGCACCCCTCCTCGCTGGTCCGCCCTCAACCCTCGCCCCACTCCCCTTGAGGTCCGTTCCTCTCCCCTTTATGAACCTCCCTCCTCCACCCACGCCCACCAGGCCCTCGCCCCTCCCCATCAGCAGCACCAGCAGCAGCAACAGCAGCAGCAGCTTGGGAATCAGCAGCAGGGGTCACAGCAGTATGGGCAGCAGCTTCTCCTCCCTCAGCTCCAGCAGCAGCTCTAGCATCTCCAGCAGCAGCTCGACCTCCAGCCGCAACTGCCCCTCCTCCCTCCTCCTCCGGTTTCCCAGCAGCAGCCCTTTCCTACCTGGACTGCTGGGAGTGCTGCCTCTGCAGCCCATCTCTCGGGTGCGTCCCCGGCGCCGTCTGCAGGTGGCAGTGTGACTGCTTTCCCTTCCTCTGGTTTTGTTGGCTTATTAGGTCAACCTGAATCTGTTGCATCTCCCATGTACCCTTCTTCTGCTAATGAAACTTCGTTCCAGTACTCTGCCTCACCTTCCTCCACCATTGACTTCGTTCTGGACAGTGGAGCCACTGACACTGTCCTTCGCGACGCTGGTACACTGCGCCCTCTCCCCACACCAACCTCCCTCCTCGGCGCTGATAGCAGTTTTTCCATCCCTTGTCACAACACCTCCACCCTTCCCTGTCCTCTCTTTCCCTCAGGTACTGTCACCGGTCTCCACATTCCCTCCATTCGTACTAACCTCCTCTCCCAAAGGTCCCTCCAACAAGCCATGATCACCACTCTCATCCCAGGTGGTGCTAACCATTGTGACCTATACCAAACCTCCCCATGTCGTTTTCTCACCCGTATTCCCTATTGTCCCCGCTCCCGTCTGTACACCCTTCGGGTTCCTCGCCCCCTCACCTTCCAAGTTGCCTCCCCCCCCCTCCTTCCCCCCCCCCCCTCCTTCCCCCCCCCCCCCCCCTCTCCCCTCCCTCCCACGAACCCACCCCTCCCCCCCCGCCCTCCTGACTCTGACTGTTCCTGTCGCTCCCTCTCCCACCCCACCATCCTCCTCCATCACAGGCTAGGCCACCCCAACTTCGCTACTCTGCGCTCCTCTGTCTCCTCCGGTCTCCTCCACGGTCTCCCTTCCTCCCTCCCTCCCCTCCCCAAATCCCCTGCCTCCCCCTGCACCGTCTGCGTTCAGAGCAAGCTCAAGCAGCAGCCGCACCAGAGCTCCCCCTCCGCTGCTGCGCAGCCACTTGATCTTGTTCACATGGACCTATGGGGCCCTAATCCCTCTCCCACTCGCCAGGGCCATCGCTACCTTCTCGTGCTTGTTGATGATCACAGTCGGTACTCGTCCGTCTCTCTCCTTCGGACGAAGGCGGATGCCCCGGCTGCGATCATCGCCTGGCTCGAGCGGGCAAACACCCATTTTGGGCGCCCTGTTCGCCGCCTTCACTCTGATGGAGGTGGTGAGTTCCTTAACAACCAAGTCTCCTCCTATTGTCAGTCTCGTGGCATCCTTCAGACTTACACCCTCCCTCACTCCCCACAGCAGAACGGCGTGGCTGAGAGTCGTGTTCGAGAGATCACCAAAACAGCCCGGTGTCTGCTTGTCCACGCCTCCTGCCCCCCTTCTCTTTGGGGCTACGCCCTCCTTCATGCCGCCTTCCTTACTAACCTTTACCCTCACCCCCTTCTCCCCTCCATCACCCCCACTGAGTTGTGGACGAAGGAAAAGCCTGATGCCTCATCACTTCGTGTCTGGGGCTCTAAGGCACATGTCCTCATTCACCCCTCTGACCGCTCCTGTTCCATGGGAAAGCTTGCCCCTCGTACCCTTCCCTGCATCTTCCTTGGTCATAATCCCTCCTCCCCTGACTACCTTTTCCTCCACCCACCATCCGGTCGTCTAATCCGCAGCCGGGATGTGGTCTTTGACGAGTCCACTCCCTACTACTCCTCTCCCACATCTACTGACCCACTCCCCCCTCTCACCCGTCCCCTTGTCTGGTCTGACACCACCCCTCCCCCACTACTCCCTCCTCCCCCCATCCTCCCACCCCCCCCCTTCTCCGCCGTCCCAGTCCCATGGTGCCCCTCCCTCTTCTGGTGACATCTTTGACCCGGAACCTCTGTCTTCTCCTGTCTCCCCCGCTCACTCCTCTCCTAGTACCCCTCCCCGCCCCCCTTCCTCTCCCTCGCCACCAACCCATCCTCCCCCTTCCCGCACCATACTCACCCGGTATCCCCACACCAGGTCACGTGACGGTATCCTTGGTGCACCGCCTCCCGTTACCCTCTCTACCTCTACCCTCCCCCCTCTCTCCCCCCTCCTCCGTCACTTCTTCCAGGCTGTCTTGCATCAAGCCCCTCATGCACCAGCCCCCTCAGCCACCTCCTCTCCAGCAGCGGCACCAGCAGCGGGACCAGCAGCGGCAGCAGCAGTAGCACCAGCAGCCGCAGCAGCAGCAGGACCAGCAGCGGCAGCAGCAGCGGGAGCGGCATCGGCAGCAGCAGCAGGACCAGCAGCGGCACCAGCAGCGGCACCAGCAGCAGTACCAGTAGCGGCACCGGCAACGCCTCCACCAGCAGCACCAGCAGCGACACCAGCAGTCATCAGCGCCTTCCACACCTCCCTCTCTGAGGACTCCCATGAAGAGTTCCTTGACCTCCACCTTTATGACCCCTCGCTTCTACCCATCACGTTCGACCTCTCTGGCACACCTGTCTTCGCCTTCTCCTCTGCTCCCTCCATTTTCGTTCCTACCACGTACGAGGAGGCAATGGCGTGCCCTGACGCTCCGCTATGGCTCGCCGCCATCATCAAGGAGCTGGAGGCCTTTATCGGCAACTCCTCTTTTGTTGATGTGCCT